GAAAATTCTTTTGAATCAGACTTATTTTGTATAACAACTGATGTGCGTTCCGATAAGGTGGATCAATTATCAAAAAACTCGGCATTCGAAATCTGTTGGTAAGATATAATAACAATAATAATAATATTATTATTATTTTAAACATTCAATTTTTTTTTTAGGTGGTTCTCTAAAACACGGGAACAATTTCGTTTGGCAGGAAACGCATACGTGCTATCATTATCACTTTACTCAAAATTTCCTTTCACTAAACTTTCTTCATATTTTCCTCATACATGTAATTATGATTGGAATAATGAATTGAGATCTCAATTTGAAAAAATTTCCGATGAATTACGTGCAAATTTAACTTATCCTACTCCCGGTTTACCGCTTAAACATGAAAATTTCATTAAAAAACTTGGAGTGGTTGGTAAGGATGATAGAGACAATGAATTAATTCAAAAATCTTTTGAAAATTTTGCTTTAGTTATTTTTGAAGTTGAAGAAGTAGACCGCGTCGAATTAGCAACTGATCCTCATAAGAGAACTAATTGGAAATTAAATAATCAAACTGGGGAATGGACCGAACAAAGAGTTTACCCTTAATTTATTCTCGTAATGACAATAAAAATGGAAATTCTGCGCATAACACAAACGATTTGGTATAATATAATATTCTGTGCCACATGAACTCGACAATTCACGATATAACAGTCCTCGGATTTTAGGGAGAAATCAAATCTCTTTCTCCCCTTGTACTCGACTATTTTGGAAAAAATTTAAAGTAATTTTGTTTTCAAAATCAATTTTGAAGAAAAAGCGGTATTTGTAACGAACAAATGTTACATCATTGCTTGATCGACAAAGATTTATGACAAAATAAGATCCCAATACTAGTTAATATAAAGCGAGAAAATCTAAATTTACGCTTTATTAACATAAATAATATAAATACACAAAATTGCTATAAATTATCTCCTAGACGATCAGATGATACATGTACACAAGGCTTTAATATAATTGCATTAAAAAAAAGGAGTCATCTAAATCAATACTTTCTAAGAAAAACCTACCTATAAATAAATTTAGTGTTTATCTCTTCTAATATCTTTATTACCTCCCACTACTCTCCTTACCCATCGTCTTAATTGTAACATTCCATCTCCGGGAACTATTCTTCCAATAGTTGATCTTTTATCTTGTTCGGGAGATGGGGGCGATAAAGAACTACTAAATGAAGTATTTGATGAATCCCTATGATGTTTTATAAAAGATACTGTCCCATCATTCGCTACTACAGCATATGACATTAAAGGTATATAAGGTGGCGATTGTCGAATCTCATGATCATTTTGTGTCTCCCATTGTATAGGATCCGCTGCAACAATTTCTTCTATGGAAGGAGATGTCAACCTAAAAAATTTTAAAATATGAATTTACATAGCTAATCTTTTAACGGAATCGATTTATATTATAACTCACGATTTGAATCCTCCTAGAACTGGTGATATTCTCGACGATAAGTAAAAATCGCCTGGACCTGTTAACTTTAAGTACTCCTGAAATTTTATAAAATTCAATTAGGTATGAAAATATTGTTAAAGTATAATTCGATAAATTTAGTACGAACAGGTCCACCGAACGCCCATCTCCTCGTTCGAACCGAAGCTCTCTTTAATCTATCAAGTGTTGGCTTTACTGAAGGACTACTAAAAATTGTGTCAAATAATTCATTAGTTTTCTCTGATAGTTTGGCAGTGACATTCCTAATCAGTCTATTTTTATCAACCGAAGATGAAGTAATCAAAGGTGGTGATACTATTGGTTTGGTTTGTGAATTCCATGCTAAAAGATGTCTAATGTGAAATTTAAAAAAAAATTAGCATAAAAAAGATTCGTAATAGAATTAATTTAACATTAAAAGTAAAATGAGATTACTTTGCATTCACAAAATATGCGTCTCCTGGGTTCAAAATCAATCGATGTATAGATCCATAATTTGAGATAACCAATGTACCTCTACCGGTGACACGGTTTGCAAAAGCATTCAATGAACCCTATAAAAATAATTAAAAGGTTTAAGAATTCTCAATCGTTTAAAACTGGTAAGGAGAGGATCATGAGAATTACCATTCCATAAATCCGACCAATGTTTACTGTGACTCTAGGACCGCGTGCAAGGAAGGCACCCTTTCTAACATAATACACAGACCTGCCATCCATATTTATGACAGCTATATCTGATAAGTCACGAGGTGCTAGAAGAACATCACCAGGATTCGAACCTGTCATGAACTGATAATGTCATAAGGTTCAAAAGACTGGTGTCATTTCAGTGAGTTGATGGATTGACAAGGTATCAGCATACGAATAATTTTATCTTATTATGTTCACCTTGTTATAGATCAAAGATCCACCGGTAAACTTCCTACCTAAAGCAATAACAATATTTCCATCCATAGTTCGTTCCGCTATAACCTAAATCAATTGCAAGGACTTACTTCAATTTTTTTTTAAAAAAATCATAAATCGATTGATTAGAAAAATTCTCATTAACCAATTCACACTTTACTTGATACAGCAATGGCTGTTCCAGGTGCTGCAAGTATCTCTGACCTTGGCGGAATTTTGACCAAGAGTAAAGCGCTCAAAGTCCCAGCGGAGACGACCTCAAACTTTGGATCTGGTATCGGATGATGTTCCGTCCATTGTAAAGCTGAATTGATTCCTTTACAATGCGATAGTTGGAAGAAAATTATAGAAATTTTTTAAAAAAATATATAATAATAGAGAAAAATGATCAATTTAAATAAGACTCACCAGAAGTTATAGTGGAAATGGTGCTAGAAGTTTTTTCTTTATCTATTTCACTTTGTTCTGGCGTTGTACTACTATTTTGAGCGTTAACTTTTGCGTTAACAACTAACGTTGCATAAGAACGTGCAAAAAATCGAATATGTGAAATGCTTCGCGGGATAGCTACTAAAAGTGTAGACATTTTTTTTTTTTTTGCTTTTATTAGATGATCGAATTTGAGAAAATTTATCAAAATATGATGTGTTACAGTGCAACTTAGCGACAGTGTCGATTAAGATATCACATTCTCATTTATGTGATAAATAGAGTTATATGTTTGATAACTACTCTCTCAAATACCGCGGCTTTCTTTCTTTCTCTCCTATCTTAAAAACTAATAAAACCAAATCTCTCAAGAAAATCTGAAATGAGTACACCAATGGACATTGATCAACCTTCTGGCTCCAAATCAAGCGGGAAAGCGAAAGATACTGGAAGGAAACGTTTTGAAGTAAAGAAGGTACTTTTTTGACTTTTCATTATCCGGAGTTATTTAATCCGCAAGATTTATTAAAAAAAAGAAACTTTTCTAGTCCCTTTGCCTTATAAACTGATGTAGCTAAAATAATTTTAAATATTTCTTAATTTTTGATTCGATTCAGTGGAATGCCGTTGCATTGTGGGCATGGGGTAATTATTATGTAATATATAATATACTTCGCGTGAATATAAGAATAAATAAATAAATAAATAAATTTCTACCAAAGATATCGTCGTTGATAACTGCGCTATTTGCCGAAATCATATCATGGATTTGTGTAAGATTATTTTATTATTTTTTTTTGTCTTTTGAGGTTTTGCTACCACACTTATTAAACCCTTGAATTTAATTAATAGGTATAGAATGTCAAGCAAATCAAGCCTCCTCAACCAGTGAAGAATGCACGGTGTAAGTAAATTGTGTAGATTAATTATTATTATGATTTAGTGCTCATTGCTACAATTGATGAATACTTAGAGCTTGGGGGATTTGTAATCATGCGTTTCATTTCCACTGTATTTCTCGTTGGTTAAAGACTCGACAAGTGTGTCCTCTAGATAATAGAGAGTGGGAATTCCAGAAGTATGTTATTAAAATTTCTAATCTCAAAAAAAAAAAAAAATTTTTTTTTTTTTTTATTAACCTCCTTTTCTTGTATAGATATGGTCGATAAACTGTGAATTTTCTCTGGATTCAAACCTTTTTCATGACAACTTTAGAATCATCGTTACAAATAAATCATCTTTGAAATTCAAGTACTTAAAATCAAACCAACTTTTATTATAAAAAAAATATGATTTCATTCCTGTATTTTATTATAATAAAAATTTCTTGTCCGACAAAGATACATTTTATGATTTAATTGTTACAATAAATTTAGTCATCAAAGAATACAATTAATAATTCGATTTGCAACATTTCTTAAAGCTATAATGTTTAAGTTAATATAATTTATTAAATTGAATATGTTAAACTTATTTAAAAGTATTTGATGTATCGAATTTATACTCGGTAAACCATTTACTTAGGCCAAACTTTTTATTTATCAATTGACTTTCGTTTTAGAAAACATATCTGAATTTATCACTTTTCATTAAAAACTTGATTATACCTGTTAGGAGGGGGAAATGATGTTAATATGAAAATTTATGAATAAGAGAGAAAAATGAAAAAAAAAAAAAAATTCATTATATATTCGCTCAGAGGTGTCCTAAAAATTTCCTCATATTTAAGTGTGAATTCAGAAAGTGAAGAAATTACTTTTTATGCATCATAGCGAAATATCATTTTATAAAAAAAACCATTTATTTACCTGGTTAAAGATTTTTTTCGAATAGGAAAAAAAAAAAAAAAAAAAAAAAAGCGTTTTGGAATAAATACCAATGATTGTTATGTCACGTGAAATAAGATGGGGGTAATCTGCGAACTTCACATCTAATCAAATACATACAGCACTTTCATTTTTCTCAATTTTCTCAATCCTTTTCTTCCCATAAAGAATCATAATAATGGCGTTTTTTTCACGTGTAATACGCGCAATGGAAAAAATATCACCAACTTCGTTAGCAGAACATTCATGGGATAACGTAGGAAAATTAATCGAACCACCATATCCAAGACCATCATCACGAGTATTTCTTACAATAGATTTAACCCCCTCGGTATTAGAAGAAGCTCTCTCCGATCAAAACGTTGGAGTTATTATAGCTTATCATCCACCAATTTTTCGCTCTTTTAAAAGATTAACTTTAGACGATTCCAAACAAGCTATTATTTTAAAAAGCATCGCGCAGGGTGTTGGCATATTTAGCTCTCATACTGCTAGTGATTCTTGCGTTGGAGGAGGTAACTATACGGGACCCTTGCAATGAGAAAGGTGGGAACTTCCAGGAAATGATCAAGCTTACTTTTATATGTCAATTATGTTTTTCATTTAGCATTACCGTAACTCATTATTTTTTTCCGGCGGTTTCCATCCTTTCTATTTATTGCAAAGTCATTTCTTATTAATAAAAAGGGTTTAAAAGACATAAAATCTTATTTATAGTTAATGATTGGCTGGCAAAAGGACTCGGATCGGGAACTGTAAAGCCTATAACTCCGGCATCAAATCCACCTCAAGGTTTTGCTATTTATTAGTGATAACAATATACAATTCAGATCATCAAAATAAAAAAAAAATACTTTATTAAGAAATCGTAAATGTTCTATTGAATGGTTCAATAGATCACGAAGAAGCTGGATCAGGCAGGATATTTACTTTAGATCAACCAGTTCCGCTTTCAACTATAATTGAAAGAGTAAAACAGCATTTGAAACTTCAACATGGTGAGCGTTATTTTCATTTGAATTGTTCAATAAACTTTAAAGTTGATCTTTTTAAATTGTGTATAGTTCGAGTTGCGACAACGAATAAACATTCATCAGGAGGATTAATCTCAACAATTGGGATATGTGCTGGTTCAGGTACGTTATTACCCCCCCCCCCAAAGAAAAGATAAACAAACAAATCATTAACAAAAGAAAAAAAAAAAAACTTTTCATATATATAGGTTCTTCGGTACTTTCACCTGCAAAAACTGATTTATATTTTACGGGAGAAATGTCTCATCATGATGTACTTGCTGCATTGGATAAAGATACCAGCGTAATTTTATGTAAGTTCCCTAAAACCTACATATTATTTACAAGTTACAAAAAAGCTAACGGAACATTAATTTATTTAGGCGAACATTCAAATACGGAAAGAGGATACCTTTCCGAAATACTGAAACCAAAATTAGAACAATTATTTAAAGATGATGATGAAAAGGAAGCAATCGATGTGGTGGTAAGTAAAGTCGATAAAGATCCATTAGAAATTATATAGATAATTTAATGTTTTAAGTAATAAATATAAAATACAATCACGATTTATTGACATGATAGTATTAAAAGTTTATCATACATCATATTGTAAAGTGAAAAATAATAAAAAAGAAATCACAAAAGAGACCAAAAATATATCCAAAAAATATATATATATATATATATATATGCATACAAAAAAAATTGCAATATTGCATAATTTTTTTCCAAATCAGTCAATATATAATGTGTATTGAATCTGTTACCTGTACAAGTGATAAATATCCAGTAATACAATAATATTATTTTGCAAAAAAAAAAAGAACTTTTTTTTTTTTACATCCTTCTAGTTGACATATCTGTTCTAATAGCTTATAATAACATTATTTTTTTTTTTTTGCGTGTATACATTTTTATAAAAAAGTTTTTTTTTCCCTTGTACTCTACCAAAAGAAAGAAAAGAAAAGAAAAAGCAAAGGTAGAAAATATTTTTTTAAAAGCTTTTTTTTTTTTTTCAGTTATTACTATTTATTGGAGTTGATGTACCATTAGTGTTTGTGGTTGTTGTATTGTTAGAATTGCTGCTGGTTGAATTGTTGGAGGGATTGATTGTGATAATGTTGGTAGAAATAGTGTTGGTAGTGGGACTGTTATGATTATTACTATTGACTGAGTTATTTTCTCGATGAATCGAACTTAATTTTCCATTTGCCGTGTTTGAAGTGACCGATGTGATTAACGAGGTAGAAGATGACGACAATGGGACAGCATTTGATGAGGGTGGTGACGAATTGCTATTATTATTATTATTATTACTATTACTATTAATATTATTGTTGTTAATGTTACTGTTGTTACTATGGCCATTATCTGATGTTGTAGTGTTAACATTAACGATTGAAACGTTATTGTTTAAAATTGGCGGCGTTCCAATCATTACATTTGGAACATTCGTTGTTGTACCTAATCCATATAGGTAACCACTTGTACAATCAAAAGGGTGTAAATATTTTGTTAACAAAGTAAAGATCATTTGGGCAAAAGAAATCACACAAAAATCTTTTAAAACGTACAGATATTTCGTGTCGTCAATCTTGTCATTAAAAAACGTTTGACGCATTTTGAAAAAGGTCGTCGCTGTCAAAAGACTATCACTACCTGCCTGATGTTGGGGACCAATTCGGGTAACCTAAAGTTTTTTTTTTTTTTTTATAAAGATTTTAAATTTGAAAAAAATTATTTCAAAAAAATAAAAATTCTCTAATCCATACCTGTAAATCATCTGCAATATCCTGCAAACCACCTTTTAAATTTTTAAAACTTCTCACAAGAAACTTTATATCATATATACAGGGGAAATATGTTCTCAACAGGTCAAAAAACTCTGATTCCTCGGCGGGTAAAGGAGAACATGTGAGCACTTTAAGCAGATAGCCAAAATCATAACCACTACAACAAATGAAATAAAATTAGCAAACAGTAATTTCATGTAAAGTGATAGAATAAACGCACCTATGATAAGATATCCATTTAACATCGTCCAGCAATACAAATCCAGAACTTATCAACAATTCACCAAAGTGTTCTACATCTATACCATAATCTTCATGTTTCTTGAAATCGATACCAGATTTTGTCAATAAGTCAATGGAATCTTGTGCATACATATCACCTCTTCATAAGCAGGAGATCGAAAAAGAAAATGTGTTTAAAATAATATATTCATCATGTTCCCCCATGAACCGCAATTTTCTTTTTTTGCAATAAACACTGACCCCAAATTGAATTTAAAATTAAACTGCCATGTACAGGTATCTGGTGGTAAAGTTCCGTTCTCATCTGCAAATGTGATTCCTAACTGGATGATTTTAAGCAAATCGACATTACAACGAAGGGTTTGATAATGATAATCGGAACTAGTTCGAAAACTCCCAATGGGTCTAGCAACCACACCAGGAAATTCCGTGTCCTAAAATACAATTAAGAAAATTCATTCATCAGTTTCGAATTTTTTTTTTTAAAAAAAAAAAAATAAATAAATAAATCATATGGTCTGATAAAATTTATATAAAAATCCAAGGATATAAATTTAGGTACATGCTATTATTTATTATATTAAAAAGTACTTTTTAAGAAAACCTACGTACCATTGCAAGGAAAGGATACTGTTCTACTAGATCTCGAAGAACAGCCATTTCCTCTTCAAGATTCTCGGCCCACACTTCTTTTATATACTTGCTCTCATTGTTGGTTGGCATGTTTCACTATTAATGGTATTATTGATTGTGTGGAGAATCGCGAGAAAGGCCAGGAAAGGCCCAACAAACAAATCTAAATAAAGGTAATATCGACCAAGAGATCTAGAGACTTTATATGCAAAGCAACTGTATCTAAATACGATCTATGATCTAGTAGCAATAAAAATAAGTGGGTTTGAAACGCGATAATAAAAAAAAATTTTTTTTTTTTTGTTTAGATATTTCAACGATCCCAAACGCTTTTCCTTGTTTGGAGCATTGCATTAAACGTTCTATAAACTTCTAGTCGTAAATCAGCCACGTGTTAAATAATGACATTACTAAGAAAACGTTTTTTAATAAAATCCAAATGCTAAATTAGTAAAATTTTTCCCAAAGATTTATTTTTGTTATAAAAAATTTTTTTAAATATTTACCAATTAAGAAATTTTATAAGAAAAAAGAAAAAAAAAAAATTTGAATATTTCCTTATTATATAAAAAAATTACTAATACAAAGATATATAAAGTACTAGTATATTATATATTAAATTTAATATAATAATAAGTAAATTAATTAGATATATAGT